TTTTTTTTTTTTTTTTTTTTTGCAGTACCAGGAACCAAATCAAAGTGTCACACACGCTAGGCTAGCACTCTACTGCTGAGCTACATCCCCGGCTCTAACTGGAACCTTCAAACAAGATCTTGGGGAAGAGGGTCTGAGGAAAACGCTGAACTGCTTTATAAGGGCTATGGATTTGATTATAAGTAAATACAAATCACAATCATTTGATTAGGGAAATGTATGATTTACATTTCAAATAACACACTGCAGAGAAAATTCTATTCTTAGACCTGGCACAGACCTCTGAGTTTATCATAATACAATTTCCAGGACACTGTTTTTAGGATGCCATGTAAATATTGACTGGAAACAATAACAGAGATGTCATGCTGGAGAATCTTAAGTAAACAGCTCAAAGCCTGGCTTCCTGTTTATATAATTTTAAGTCATTTTATTGCTAGCCAAAAGGTGATTTAGCACTCTGATTTAATCTAAGAATGTCTTTACTTTCCACATAATAAAAGAGACTACAAAGAACAGCTAAAAAGCCAGGGACATAAGAAGGAACAAAAATAAGCAGACATGTGTCTTCCAGACCCAAACAGTGAGAAATCTGTGTGACAAGACCATCGGTTCAATCTATTTCCAGATCACTGTCCTCACTGTGACAGGTGGCAGAGTTACGCACAGATGTTAGCACCAAGACTTCCTTTTCTGGGAGTAATCCAAACTCCTGTAGAAAAGCTTCAAGGTCCACAGCAAAGAAATCTTCCCCCAGCTGGTCAGTGACACGAACAAAATTGCCAACCAATTCCCCTCCTTTGTAGATCAGCAGGGCAGGAAGGGCATTCCGGGTAAACCGACTGCTGGCCCCAATAACCGAGCTCTTCACCCTGCAGAATTTGACAGCCGGGTACTCTGCAGCAAGGCAGATCATGCAGCCGTGCATGGCTTCAGTTCCTGGAATGCCATCCTCATAAATATGGACCATGATGAGGGTGCTCTTCTGCTCTTTATCAATCATGTCTAAAAACCCTTCTCCACTAGGAATTTCAAAAACCTGCTTGAACTCGGGTCCCTTGTATAACTGTTGCCGCATCTCTTCCATCCTCTGCTTACGGTACTGCTGCAGAAACTCCTCATCATCTCGGTCCTCGTTCACCATGGCAAACTCCTTCAGAGTCATCTGCAAGAGGAGCAGCATGTAAGGATAAAGACACACACACAGTGAACACTCATGACAAACGCAACATGCCCCTTGCACTTACAACACATGAGGCACATGCTAAGTGCTCTGGGCACATTATCTTTGTTTTTTAAGAGATGAGGTCAGGGATAGGAATGCAGTTCAGTGGCAAAGCATTTACTTAGTACACATGTGGGCCTAGGATTGATCCTTGGTACTGCACCAAAAAAAGAAAAAAGAGAGAAAGTGAGAGAAAAAAGTCTCACTGTACTGCCCAGGCTGCCCCAAACTTCTGAATTCAAGCAATCCTCCTGCTTTGATCCAAAAGGAGACAGGGTTACAAGCATGCTCGACCATGCCTGGCTCTCACTGGATTGTTATGGTAACCCCATCAGAGAGTTTTATAATCCCTTCTTCATAACTGAGGTTCTAAGATTTTTACATTATTTGCAGCACAAGTTCAAACAGGTAGTAAATGTAACACCAAGACTCAAACTAGATTTTTAAAACCCAGGCTTTTTTTTTTTTTGATGTATATATTTTAATGAATAATTAAATGAAAACTGATGCAGTCACTATTCGGGTTAAGACAAAATACTGCCTGCACCTTAGAAGTTGTCTGTGCCCCTTCAAAATCAGAAGTATATCTCACTCTTCCATAGCATCTATTCATCTCTAAACAGTATTTTATTTTACTATTTTAAGCTTTATAAGAATATCATATTTAATGCATTTTTCTTTCTTTATTCAATATCATTAATGATATTCATTCATAATGCTGCATAGCTACAATTGGTTCATTTCCACTGATGTACAACATTCTGTTGCATGGATAAGGATCTACTTGTTCATCTGTTGGACTACTGATGGGCATTTGTTTTTTTTTTCCAGTTTTTTAATGTTATAAATAATACTATTTTAAGTATTTTTACACACATTTCCTGGTATAAACACAAAAGTTTTCCTATGATGTATGAAGAAAAGGATAGTTGGATCATAGGTTTTGCACATGAACACTGTACTAGGTAATGTAAATTGTGTTGCAAAGTAGGGAAAAAAGAAAAAGAAAAACCTATTTTAACTACATTACTCTACCACCTTTCAACTGAAATAGGTATCATCAGATATTATTTCATTGACCTATTTCTTTTTGACAGTGTATTATTTTATTTGCTGCTGCTGCTGTTGTTGTTGTTAAGAAAATAGGAAGCCAGGCCTGGTGGCACAGGCCTATAATCCCAGCAGTCCAAAGCAGGACAGCCATAATTTCAAGCCCAGTCTGGGCAACCTAAGTGACTTAGTGAGATCCTGACTTAAGGTTAAAGAAAAAGAACGTGAGGGTAATGTGGCTGTAACACCTGTCACCCCATTGATGGCCAGCGCTGATTCAGCCGATCTGGCTGGCTGGGCGGGTGTCCCCTTGCTCCCTCACCACTCCATGTGCCCTCCTCCCTAAGCTGCACACTCAGTTGAAGAGGATGAACCCCCCCAACAGAGGACAGTTTCCTTGGTCAAGGGTATACGAGTAGCTGCACTGCCCTGCTAGAACCTCCAAACAAGCTCTCAAGATTTAAAAACTAAAGTGGGGGCAGAAATCACTCAGAGCGAAGACCCAGGATTCAATACCCAGTACCAAAAGAACAAACAAAGACAACAGGATATTAAAGAACTTCAAAAAGAACACTCATAGCCAGGCATGGTGGCGCACACCTGTAATCCCAGCACTCGGGAGGCTGAGGCAGGAGGATCACTGGGAGTTCGAGACCAGCCTGGGCTACACAGTGAGTTCCAGGTCAGGCTCAACTACATAGTGAGACCCTGTCTCAAAAAACCAAAAAAAAAAAAAAGAACACTCATAATCCTTGCCCTACATACAATACATTCATGGTCATGTACACTGAAACTTCTTTTTTTTTTTTTAATTACCAGCCACATGCTGGAATAGTTTTGCATTCATAGCAGCAGCTGTGGGTATATCAACTCAGTTAAAACCCATTTTGCTTCTTAGCTAATGTTAATAATAATTTACAGGTATATGTCATGTTTTCAAGTTTCATAAAATTATATATAAATATGCTTTGTTTTGCCTAACCGCTCCCCAGTACTCTATTCTGGTCTCTTGCCTCAATATAAGGAAGTGGCTCTGAGTAGCTGGCAAACTGCCCTACAGCCAGCTTAATTTATGAAGTTTTCCTTCTCCTGCCTGGTGCACAAAGGTATCCCTGCTCATGTAATAAACTTACACTCTGCCTAACCCTGGGCACAGTAGAGGATGTGAAGCTGGGGACCACACTAGATTAGAACAGAAACTGTTACTATTCATTCTAAACAGCACCATTCTGAGTTCAGTTTCACTTATTACCAATTTTCTTCCCCTTGCACAGCTCCATCTTAGTCCACCACATGACTTTTTCTAACCTGCTACTATCTTTGTTCTAGTTTTCTATGCTGAAATCATCCCCCTGGTCAAGAGGAATGGCTCCTGGCTTACTGATCCTATCTGCTCCCTGTTCGTGGCTGGTATTCTAGCTTTAGGCCACACCTAAGCAATCTGCAGCACTCCTAGACATTCTTCCATGGCCAGAAGACCAGAAGAGTGATTTTAAAGTAGCAGAAAGTCAGGGACCTGGTTCCAAATATCTTCCAGAGTATTTGCTTCTACCATGATCCCTCCTTCATTCCTCATGAATGGGCTTCAGATGGAAAAACATCATAGAAAGAACAGAAAAATGTGAGTTAGAGGACCAGAGATTTAGCTCTGTGGCACCGCACCTGCTTCACAAGTGCAAGGTCCTGAGTTTGATCCTCGGTACCAGCAAAGAAAAAAACATGTGAGTTGGAATATTAGCTTCTACTAGCATTACAGTTTGAATTACTCTAAGAGTCACTTTTTCTCTAAGCACTGCTCTCATCATGTGTAGAATAGGAATAACCCTACCACCCTCACAAGGTTATTTCTGGCCTAAAACATGATGTGGATAAGACAGGAAGCTAACATGCACTGGGCACTTTCTCGGGGCCAGTCAATGTGACAGGCATTTTGTCCACATCACCCTAGGGGTGTGACATACTGACCTCATATAACCAATGAAAAACCAGACTCAGGAAGAGATTTTCCCACAGTCCCTAGTGGCAGAGTAGAGAGTCAAACCTGGGTGTATCTGATTTAGGCTGTGGCTCTCTGACTTGCTATACACTGCAGTTTTTAGAAGCCATATCCAACAATCTGCATCTCCTGAATCACTAAGTCCGGTTCTAGCAGCCAGCGTGGCTTCTGAGAAAAGCCTAATTGCTCCTGATTACCTTCCCACTAATCTTCTCCCGGAGGTCCTTCTGTTTCTGTTGCTCCTCCTCTTCATCCAGATGGGACCTGCAGGTCATAGCCAGCTTCTTAATCAGCCTTTCCATCTCCCGGCACTGCTCCTCCCTCTGTTCTGTCTCCAGCTGCTTGAAGCGGCGCCAGTCATTGATCACACCTTTTGGACCTGTGTGGGGTGATCGTGCATGTGACCAAGAATCAGCAAGGAATTATGAAGCACTTCACACAGTGGCGTAGCTCTCATCTGTCTGAAGCTTGCTCTTCTTATGCCACAGCTAACACAGAAGCACCAGGTCCTCTGCCACCGGGCAGAGTAGTCATCTACACATGATAAGGTGCACTGCAGCACAGTCTGCAATAATTAAAGGGCTAATCTGGCATCCAACATGAAGAAGTGAGTTAATTGTGAGTCATCCACTCAAAGGAAAATAACACTCAGAAAAAATGAGACAGTTCTATGTTTCCTGCCATGAAAGATACTCCAAATATATTAGGGTTTCTTTTGTTCTGTTTTGTTTTGTTTTTAATGACAAACTGGGCACAGTGACACACACTTACACTACTTGAGAAGGTGAGGCGAAAGGACTACTTGAGCCCAGGAGTTCAAGACCAGCCCCAACATAAAGAGACCACATCTCTCAAAAAAAAAAAAAAAAAAGACTATTTGGTATCCAGTAGGCTGGCAAATAATCATAATGTCTAATAACAGTAGGAGGGAGAGGAAAGTATATGTTGAAATATTATACTGCTGACTAAACTATAAATATTGTGCATACACAATATTAAAATGTACAAGTAGGATTGGAGATGTAGTTCAGTGGTACAATGCTTACCTAGCATGCACAAGATCCGGGGTTCAATCCCTAGCACCACAAAAAAAAGTGAAAGTATAAACGTGCCATTCTCGGAATCCATACTACCAATATTCTCATGCTATTGTTTGTGAGATATCAAATAACTATTAATTTGAGACACAGGATTCAAGCCCAGGCCAATCTGTTCACTGCCCTGCTGTCAGGCATATATATATATCTGCATTGTACAGTACCAAAGCTAGAGGCATACACAGCAAAATGACAACCCTGGGTTATCTCTGATGTGAGTAAAGTCCGAGAAAAGAGAGAAGGTGACTTCTAACTGAAACGCACTTAATGAACAGAGATTTTTAAAGACTGCTCCCAAAGCTGGGGGCTTTCCAATACCTGTATTAACCGAGATGCCTTCACCTGCCAGCTCAGCCTCTGCAGGCATGGAACTGCTGGCTGGGGCACCCCCGCCTCTGTCTTTGTCTTCATGGTCACTGTCCTCGTCCTCACTGCTACTGTAGTAGTACTGTAGTTTCTCCCCCAGCAACTTGTCATCCAGGGTTGTCATGATACCTGGGAAAGGGCAACATAGCAGGCTTTTTGCTAGTTTGAGCAAAGAAGATAGGAATCTTAAACATAGAGGGCTCATGTGTTAAGATCTACAACTTACAAAAACCGAAAAGTGATTTTTATCATAAGGAGAATTTCAGCAAATCCCTACCGCGACCCTGTGTGAAAGTGTTTATAATGTTCTTTCCATAGAAGGTAAAACTGGAGGTCAGATAAGGGAAGTTTCTTTGCCAAACTTTCCAGCAAAGGGTGGAGCTGGTAACAGACCCCAGATATACCTGACTCCAGGAGCCTGAGGGGTGAGTTACTGTCGTCTGAATAATGCACATTTAGACTAACACACTGGCTAGGAGGAATATTCTTCACTGTCGGTGGTTAGTTTTCCTACTAAGATTGCCAAGTAATTGAAAAACTGGGTAAGAACTCTCCAGAAAAACTTGAAAAAGGTCATCAAGAGTTTGATTCTGGGCCTGGGAGTAGAGCTCAGCAGCAGAACACCCACCCAGCTTGAACACGCCCTAGGTTTGAACCCCAGCATCGCCAAAAAGGGTGGCTAAGCCTGTATCAATCACTCTCATATATTTCACTGAGAAATTAGATGGTCTCTGAAGCCCTATCAATACTGACTGGTTAAAACAAGGCCACATTAGGGCCCGGGATTTAGCTGAGTGGCAACACTCCTGCCCTGCAAGCACAAGATCCTGAGTTTGATCCCCAGCACTGCAAAAAACACCACATCATGGTTTTAATAACAAGCAAATGTTACTATTATCTAGAATATATAAAGAACTCAAAACAATCAGCCCCCCAAATATAAAGACCTGATTCAAAAATGGGCATCTGAAATGAACAGACATTTCTCAGACAAAGAAAAACAGTAAGTAAATATATGAAAAAATGTTCCACATGACTGGTCATCAAGAGATGCAGATGAAAACAACACTGAGATTCCACCTCACTCCACAAAGAATGGCTGCTATCAAGAAATCAAACAATAACAAATGTTGGCTGGGTTGTGGGGAGAAAGGAACCCTCTTCATTCATTGTTGGTGGGAGTGCAGAATGGTGCAACCACTATGGAAATCAATATGGAGATACCTCAAAGAGCTGGGACTAGAGGTTCCATTTGACCCAGCCATCCCTGTTGGGTATCTTCCCAAAAAAATTAAAAGAATCCTATCACAGTGATATACGTGCACCTATGTTTATAGCGGCACAGTTTGTAATAGCTAAAACTTGGAAACAGCCCATTTGCCCGTCCGTTGGAAACTGGATAAAGAAGATGTGGTTTTTCTATAAAATGGAATATTACTCAGCCAAAAAGAATGAGAAAGTAGATTCATTCATGGGAAAATGGATACATATTGAAGATATACTCCTAATTGACAATGGGAAATAGGATGAAAGGGGCTAAAGGTGTAGGGAAAGTGGGAAGGGTAGGGGAAAGCTAGTAAGGGAAAAGAAAAAATATGAGAAAATGAAAAAATTGAAATAAAGTCTTTGTAAATAGGGAAGGGAGAAGGGGGTGAAGGGAGGGCAGGGGCAAGGGGAAAAAATGAGAACCAAGACCTGTCATGTAAAGGTACAAGATCCCAATGACGAATGCTAACTGTACTGTATACCTGAAATTTACCGATAAACTCACTGAGGAAAAAAAAACAAGCAAATGTTTAAAAGACCCAGGTTAGCATCGGTTTCTGCATCAGAAACAAGGACATTTGAAGAGAAAAGTGCAATTTAGTACAAGACTGAGTCGAATCCAGTAGGATTCGCAAAAAAATTTTTGAGGAAAAATCCTCTAATACCTCCTCCCCTAAGCACTTTCAACACTATTAATTCCTTCATGAAAGACTCATCACAGGGAGTACTATAGGCCCCACCAGGCAGGAGCTCTTAAAATGAGGGACCTCCAGTTAATCCCCAGCACAGCGCCTCTACACAATCTGCTAAACCTGGACAGATGCAGCCCGATCAGGTGCTGAATCCGGTGATCCCCCCCCCCGCACCAATAGAAGAGAAGCATAGTGTCAAGGAGGCAAAATTAATGGAGACACAACATGCAAAAGTCAGAGTAAGGCAGAACCAAATTTAAGGAACACGGAGGCGCCAACGACGGAGTGAGAGGACAAAGATAGGATCAGTCAGCGACCAGAGCAAGGAGCCAACGGCGAGAGCGAGAGCGAGGGGGAGTCGCGCGAGAGCAGGCGGGGCCAGACGAGTGAAGGGGGCGGGGCCGACAGGGTGGCGCGAGGTGGGCGGGGCCAAAGGCGCAGAGGCGGCGCCCCTGGAAGCGGAGCTCAAATCCTTAGGAAGATCCTGGAAAGTGAGGGGAGAGTAGGGGCAGCAAAATGGGGGCGGGGGGAGTCGCGGAAACAGGGTATGGAAAGCCCTAAGACAAAGCAGTTTCATCACCCTTCACCCGGAGGCCGTGCCCGCCGCTTCCTCCTGGCTAATCCCAAGGCCGTTACCACAGCTGGCTTGGTCCGGATCTCTTTGGACTAGCACCTAGCGCTATCACAAGGAAAGGACCGCTCACTCGAAGAGAAGTGAGCCGAAGCCCCGAGTGCTAAAAAGAAAGGCTACCGGACTCCTGATTGCGCGGACCAATGAGGCGGCTCCCTGCGTCATGGCGGAGGCACACTGCCCAATTAGGAGCCGCTTCTCTCAGCAGAAAAGGGTACGGGTCCTATTTGGGGACAAAATATCAACTTATGTGTTTTGTTTCTGAGTAACGAAGGATTGAAGAACACAGTATCGACTTTAAACAATAAAAGTTTCGTTTACTTCCTTTCAAATTTTCTAAAAACATTCAAAATGTGTGTTGTGTTGTTTTGCTTTGTTGCCCTGGAGATTCAACCTTCACGCTGAGGTACAGCCCCGGCACTCTTCTTTCTTTTTTCTTTCCTTCTTTCTCCTCCCCACCCCACCCCGCCTTCTTCCTACTTCCCCCTCCTTTTTGGTGCTTTTGAGGTAGCGTCTTGCTCTGTAATTCAGGATGGCTTTGAATTCACTATGTAGCCCAGACTGACTTCAAATTTGGGGCAATCCTCCTGCCTCAGCCTCCTGAATGCTGAGATGACATGCCTGCCCACATCCCGACCTCTGGCTTTTGTTTTATCTTATTTTTTAAGGCTGATCTCACTTAGTTCTGCAGGCTAACCTCGAAACTGCGAATCTCCTGCCTCAGCCTTCCAGAGTGCTAGTATTGTTGAGGGACAGTGTGATGGCCAGGGTTTTCCAGCTCTTGTTGGTTGCAAACAATTGGATGGAGACTATTGATGAACATAACAGTTTCATGTAGAGAGGAAAGAAAAGAGAAGATGCATGAAGGAAGGGCCACTACAAGAACAAGAGGGCAGTAGTGATGAGGCCCAAGAGTGGTCCTGCTTTTTTCTTTTGACTTCAGATCTGGGCCAGTCCCTTCCAGGACTCACTGGCTACCCTCGATTGTGTTAAGTCTGTGTGTCAGTTTTGGAAATATGGCCATTTTTACTATATTGTTTCTGTCTATACAGGAATGGGACATCTTTCCATTTTCTGATGGCCTCAATCTCATTTTTCAATGTACTGTCATTTTAGTTACAGAGGTCCTTCACTTCTTAGGTTAATTCCTACGTATTATTATTTATTTATTTATTTATTCATTTATTTTGGACATTGCCTCACGCTGTAGTTCAGGATAGCCTTGAACTCATTATGCAGCTCAGGTTGACTTCAAACTCTTGGCAATCCTGCTGCCTCAGCCTCCTCAATGCTGGGATTGCAGGTGTGCCCCACCACGCCCAGCAGTATTATTTGTTCTTGAAGCTATTGTAAATAGTATTGTTTTCCTAATTTCTTTCTTGGTGAGTTCATTATTGGTGGACAGGAGGTAACTGATTTTTCTGTTGTTTTGTTTTGTTGGTTTTTTATTTTTTGATACAGGGTCTCTCCACATAGCTCAGGCTGGCCCCGAGCTCACTATGTAGCACAAGCCAGCCTGGAGCTCATGGTGATCTTCCTACCTCAGCCTAGAAGTCTGGGATTTCAAATGTGTGTCACCACACCCAGCTGTAATTGATGTTTGTGTGTTGATATGGTTGGTATACTGCTACTTTGCTGAATTGTTTATTAGTTCTTCAAATCTGCTGGTGACATTTTTTTTTTAGTCTTCTGTGTAAAAGATCATGTTATCTGCAGATAATGATAGTCTGACTTCTTTTTCAATGCATAGCTCTTTTATTTCTTTCTCTTTCCTGATTGCTCTGATTAATGTTTTAAAAACTATATTAAACAGAAGTAGTGATAGTAAACATCCATGTCTTATTCCTGATTTTAGATGGAAAGGTTTCAGTTTTTCTCTGATTTTATTTAAAATTGACATTAGGCTTGTCCAAAAAAGGCTTTTACCACTTATTTCCTTTGAAGTTTTTTCCCCCTTCTTTGGTACCAGGAATCAAACTCAGGACATTGCACTGTGCCGCTGAGCTACATCCCTGGCCCTGGGTTTGTTTGGTTTTTTATGTTTTGGGGTATCAGGGATTGAACTCCGGTCCTTGCACTTGCGAGGCAGGCATCAGAACCACTGAGCTAAATTCCCGGCTCCTGGGTTTTTTGTTTTATCATGAATGGATGTTGAATTTTGTCAAAGGCTTTTTCTGCATTGATTGAGATTGTAAGATACTGTCCTTGTTTCTGTTATATGGTTTATTACATTTATTTCATTCATTCATTTATTTATTTTTGATACTAGCGATTGAATTTATGTCCTTGCACTTGTGAGGCAGGCAGCAGCACCACTGAGCTAAATCCCCTGGTACATTATATTTATTGATTTGTATATGTCCGACCATCCTTGCATCCCTGAGATGAACCCTACTTGGGTCATGATATATAATCTTTCTGATGGTTTGTTGCATTCTGTTTGCCAGTGTCTTGTTGAGGATTTTTGTGTCTATGCTTGTTAAAGAGATTCATCTGTAGTGGTTTGTTTTGTTTTGTTCTGTTTATGCTGGATTCTTGTCTGGTTTTGGAATCAGGAAAATGCTAGCTTCTAGGAATGAGTTCAGAAATACTCCTTCCCTTTCAATTTCATTAAAGAGTTTGAGGTGTACTGATGTTAGATATTCCGTGAAGTCCCTGTAGAATTCAGCAGCAAATCCATCAGATCCTGGACTTTAATTAGTTGGTAAGTTTTTTTATTACTACCTCTATATCATTGCCTGTTACTGGACTATTCAGGGTTTTATATCTTCTTAGTTTAGTTTTGGCAATTTATATGTGTCTAGAAATCTGTCCATTTCTTCTAGATTCTCCCATTGATTGGAGTACAAGTTCTCATAGTACTTACTTATAATCTTCTGGATTTCAGTGGTTTCTACTGTGATTTCACCTTTTTATTTGTAATTGCATTTCCTCTCTATGGGTCTATTCTTTGCCAGGTCTCTCCTGAGCGTATTGGGAACTTGTTGCTCTTGTGTGATGTTATGAGTACAATTCTAGCTCTCAAGAAAATTCCACACTCTAATGCTTGGGTCTTTGATTACTGAAGCTGCTAAACATGCTCCTAGATTAGGCAAGTCTGACTGAAGCTAATAAGTAGGTTAATTAATTTTAGCATTAGCAAGTCTGTCTTTCACCATTTTTGTTTTGCCTTGTTCTGCCATGCATCATTCTCCAAATAATTAGCTAATAGAGTCAGCCTTGCCTGAAGAGGAAGAAGAAAAAATATCAAAGAACAATAGCACTCATATGACCTCATAATCAGTCATCTTCCATTAGGGTTCACAGGACCAAGGAATGTCTAGAATGCCTGGTGACCTGTGGACAACATTGAAACCACATCAA